TATATTAAAGAATGTCATTAAAGACCTAAAATGTTTCCACACTGAAATCAAAAACACCAAATGCTGCCAGTCTCACCTCTGCAGAGTGGGAGCGGGCCGCTCCAGAACGACGGGTTCCCGAGGATGCATTTAATGGCAGCCTCTCCGATGAGCTCATAACCCTGGTAACAAACAAAGGTGAGCGACTCGCCAGGCAGGTACAGCCTCTTGGACAGGATCTGGTAGCCGTTATCAGGGAGACCAGGGTTCTCACAGGAAACAGAATCCTCAGCTGAAGAAAAGAAACATAACAAGAGAACGCTGCATGGATCCCGCCTCGTTTCTCAACCCAAAATCATAGGGAGGCTTTTGAGTTGACGCTTCGACACAGATTTGACAGGTTCTGAGGCTGAGGTGACATGAGTCATGGATAATCTCCACCTCCTTCTCCAGGTGGCTGAGGGCTGATTGGTACGGCCTATTAGCATCTCATTTACATATCAAACACTTCACACAAACATTATTAGTCCTGAGAACACACACACACTTAACATTTCAGTCCTGAGACGAAATGTAGGAGGTGAAACATCATCTCTGGCATTCAGAATTGCTGCTGCAATGTTTGTCAGCAACAAAACCAGAAAGCCAAGCAATCCAGATTACAAAACAAGGGGGTAAAAAGACTGTTTTTCAGTTAACTAGTGCAGATGACAGCATGGTGTAAAAGGATGGGTTTTTACCCCAATTAAAGCTTGTATTTTCTCAAAGGAGGCAAATTAAGTGGTAAACTGTATTTATTGTAACCTATAGTAGAGATACCAGACATAGGGGCTAATTTAACAAAGGTTTGCATGTGTAAAAGACACACAAATATTTATGGGCCCGGTTCAGGGCCTACAAGAGAAATGAAGGAGAAAATATGGGCTTAAAGGGTTAGAGCTAATTTAATAACCTTGGGCACCAAAAAAATTCTATCTGTCAAGTAAAAAAAAAGGCAGACGTAATCTGTTTAGTGTGTTACAGAATACATGATGATTATCAGAAAATGCATAATAATGGGAGGAGGATATGCAAATATAGGCTTTTTGCACCTACAGTGTGATTTATCAAACCTGAAACTGGTTGCAGTATAAGTTTTTGCTTCTACGTATATTTAGTATGTTGGAAAGGCAGGCGCAAACTGGAGTCTGCCACAGAGTGTAAAAGTAAAAAATAAATAAATAAAAATCAAGTAAAAACTAGCCCACGGACTGTCGGACGCAGGGAAAGCCAGAACATGAGGCAGAGATAACGGCTCCTGCAGTGCAGAGGAGGGACAGAAAGACTGGGAGAGGTGGAGAACTTATTTCTAGTGGCAGAGCAGGTTGGGAGATGGTTATTTTATTTATTTATTTTATTGGGTGGGGGGGTATGTTCTACAGGCTTTGAGGTGTTAAATAAATTCAAAGCTGAATTTTTATGTGAGCTGTGAGATTGCCCTATACATCCATATACCTGCAAAATGGAGGAAAATCCATATGAACAATCTGTACAACTTGACATGCACTGTATGCATGTTGCATGCAAAATCACATGCAACATGCCCACTAATAGCACGGGCAACTTTTTCAGTTTGCCTATTAATTTAGCATTTGGGATTTTGATAAATCAGTCCCATAA